GCGCGCGGAAAGAGCATTTGCGGATACTGAGGACACTTCCAGGTTAGCCCCGGGGGTGGGGGGGGAAAAAAAAAAAGCGAACTTCTCGCTGCTCCATTTCGCCATGCAATTTGGGGTTTCTCGACAGGGCACACGTCTAAGGGGCTGCACTCTAACCAAGAGCATCTCTTCTGAAGAATCATTTCGTTGCCTCTTCCCGACCTCCCTGGAGCGGACCGGGCGGCCCGCAGCGAGCAGCACTGCGCTGACAGAGAAGTTCTGGCCTTAAAAACAGACCAGAACTCACTTTAGATCCACAGGTTTTGCAATCTGTTCAAATGCAGAATTTTCCACTTTGTCTGATCCCTGTGGTCGGCACCTGTGATTGACATTTCTAAAATAAACGGTACTTCACATATACATTTTAAAATAATATTTCTTTTCCAAAAGTAAATGGTTGTGGGATTGGAAGGTTCCAGTGAATAAAAGCAGAATGTAATATCTCCCCTGTCCCTCCCTCCCTCTAGTTTTTGTTAAACGGAGGCTTGAGTTCTTGTATTTTGAAGTCAGCAAAGAAAGTCAGTGCAAGTGAAAAGTTGAATCAGCTGAAAAGCTTGACGCCTAGCAAAGCAATACCAATAAAATTGTAACTCTGGTCTTAAACAAAGCCCCAAAAGAGTGATATTTTGAGCTGTTATTTCAAAATTTTCATTTTCATAAATTGTCCATTTTAATCGCTAGAGCTATAGATGTGTTATATTTATGACACTGGAAATTACACTGGAGGTATACTTGCTAAAATGATTGGGCATAATTATTCCTAAATAGGAAAAGATATATGCTTTTATATGCTAAATTATGAAAATAGGCAATTTTACCTGCTGCAGGTTTATAAGTCTAACCTCAAAAAATATTTTCGTGATTATTTATAGATGGAAAAATACTATGAGGAATAAATTATTTGAAAACATATTAAATCATACAGGCCAGTTTAATTTTACAATCTAGTCATAATCATTCTCATAAAAACATAGTGAATTTTGTCATTTTTGATTTTTAGATGACACTGCCTTAAAAGAAACAAAAACTTAATCTCTTTTTCATATACTGTTTAGCATGGAAAATACAAACCAGATTAGTTGAAGCTAATAACCTTATGATGTAAAATAGTTTGTATAAATCACAATTTGTACTTTGATATGATACTGAAGCAAGACTTTCAAATAATACAAATAATAATTAAAGATCATTCATAATCTCTCTGAAATAAGATAACTGAAATTAATCAGCACTTTAACTAACTCTAATGCCCAGTGTATCTGACATTGGCTTGCACTTAGAACGACTAGAAGTGCATATATTTGCAACAGCCCCCCCCCCCCCCCCCCAAAAAAAAAAAACCCTTCAGTTTCACAAAATATAAATCAATGTGATACATGCAGATACAAGGATACAAGCAAAAATAGCTATAGGCACCAAAAGCTTTGGGAAAAGTGCTGTAGTTAGGAAAGCAAAAAAAAATGTCAATCAATTAGAAAACAATAATAATTATTAGAATACATGCACTGCCATGTAAACAACAAGTAAACAACTTAGATTCCTAAAAAAAATTGACAAAATTTAGCCTATTTGTTCCTGTTGTCATCATAAATCTGATGCAAAGTAGCCTTTTAAAAGCCCTGCAATAAATGCATTGAACTTACATGTGGATGGTTGCCCCCCATTTGTTCTCCACTATAGCAGATACAGCAAGTAACTCCTGCACTCAAACCAAGGCTTCTACAGGGCTGTATATATATAGCTCCCTTTACAAATCACTTTCAAAAGTTTCAATAAATGGAATAATCTGAACAACTTCTTGATTCCAGATAGCAGAATCTAAGTCTAAACTTGACTACAGTCTTGTTTTTCTCCTCCCCCACTGAATAACACCCCCAACTCCTTTCCCTCATTTTCAGAGATCCCCAAGCTTACTTGGTTAGCATTTTATTCTTCCACAGTCATATGTTTCATATTGTGAGGGAGGGATTGATTTTTATTGTTTGTTTGAATGTCATTGCCAGGGTGGATAGGCCCCGTTTTCCAAAATTTTCCTTGCTTTTTCTCCCCTTTCCTCTAAAACACATATGACACTACAACTAACACCAAAGATCTACTTCAATGGTCTTTTTCAACAACAATAACTAAACAATTACCGCATCTCAGTTCTCTTAAGTAGTGCCATCAGCAGCAAACAATTATGTTTGATTAAAAAGAAAATGAAATGTAAATAAAAATAATTTTGCATATTACAACCCTGAAAGAACTAGTAAGAAGTAAATACCTATTTATGATGAGATTGGGAAAAATACTTAAAGATAACATCACCTAAGAAAAAATAATGGCATTTTCTCTCAAACATATGCATAATTTGCATACGTTTGAATAGAAGCCACACATGCACCTCCACAGGTAAATTATTACTTGAATTCCATACCTTCCTGGACACATCAAAAGAAAAATATGGCATAGTACTTCTTTCTGAAAAAAAACATGTTTCACAGTATTCCTATGAATATAATCTCTTTACCTTGTTCAAAATATGACAGAAAGGAACCACTTAATAAAGAATAAAATAAAGAATGTGCAGAGACACGTTCAACACTATACCAAAGTCAATCTTATTAGCTACTTCCTCACTGAAGGTCCAAAGGAACAATTAGTTGTGTGTCTAACAGGCAACCTAAACCAATTTAGGATATCAATTTTTGCCTCCTTTTGCAGGTGAAGTCCAATTTCATTTTGTAGTATATATGAGAACCTCATAGGTCCTATAACTGAATGGCTTCTATGGATTTAGTAATGTTCCAGGACATTTTCAAGCTAACTGCAACCTGGCAGATGATCAGGTATTAATAATAATCAAGACTCCCCATAATGATTTACATCTGTCCAGAAATACATGAATATTTGAGATAGGCACTCCACTACTGCAATGCATACATTTACCTCTTCAAAATTAGATTCATACAGTGTGCTCTGCCTGAAGCTATGCCTTGGAACTACTAAGTAATTTAGGCTGTTTCAGAAACTAAGAGCTTGATTGTTAAGTGGCGCACCCAGATGCGAGTGTATTATACTAATGCTTTATGACTTGCACTGGCTTCCTCCTCATTTTCCGGTGAAATTTAAGGAACTGTCTTCAACCTAGAAAACCTTAAGTGATGCCGAACATGACCACATACATGACAGTTTTTCTCTCTCAGAGAACCACTCCAGCTATTTAATCAAAAAGTAAACAGAAAAAACCCACACCTTAGAAAAGTATATCTAATGCTGGAATGCAAATGTGAAAGCAGAGATAGCATCATGCTATGCAATATACACTGAAACAGGAACTCATTTTTATAAGTCAGGAACATGAGGGATCAAATCCCAATTGCAAGTCTGAGTGAACCAGACCTGACAGGTATCTTATACAGTCCAGCTTGTGTACCTTGTCGTGCCAATAGAGCTCAATTGATTAGAAATGAAATGAAAGATGTGAGCCCTCAGGTTTCATTTCTTGCAGTCTCCATTCTGGAAAAGCTCTTCAGGATAAACTAAAAGTCTTACACTTCCTGAGACTGTAGTGAAGGGAACTATTATGTTCAGATAGCTTGTGATATTCTTAAGATCATTTATTTGGTTAGCTACTTGTATGTATGTGTTTCGGAAGAACAAAATAAGTTGCTGAATTAGCATATGGCTTGCCAGATATATTTATAAGAATCATCTACGATATTACGACATAATAGTTGTTATTTCTCAATTACCCCAAAATATAAAGAGCATCTCTAAACAACACTGGAACCAATAAAGATTGTTCTCTTATATAATTTTATCTTAGTGGTTGACTGCATGTTTTCGTTTTCCCACACTTAGGGAACTTCTAAAGACTCTCCCAGATAGATTCTCTGGTACCAAATACAATCAGAACTGATTCTGCAACCTCTATCATGTACGGTTTCTTTCCTTAACAACCTGATTTCCTTGTAGGAATTCAGAATACCTCTGAAATACCTATTCCTGCATTAGATTTTGTTCAAAATGGCTTCCAGGTTCAGAAGTTACACAGATAAAGACTGAAAAAGTGTGCTCACATAAATCTAGTTTCTTAGAAGGCCAAGCTGAAAATCTTCATCTAACAGGATACCAGTAAGGACTACTCAAATGCACTGGATGAGGTTGCCACTTGTAGAATTTCTGACCATTGAAACTAGGACTTAACCAAACTGTCTTCTAGACTGATTTTTAGCTTGCTTTTGTGATATCGGTATTAAAAAAAAAAGAAAAAAAAGAAAAAATCTGTCCATAGGTCAGTGAAAGTGCTTAATTTAATATAGATAGTGTTAATACAATTCTGGATATACTCCTAGATACTGTATATTCCTATATACTGCTAATCCATGTAGGTCTTACATAGATTTTGGAGAACAGGGACTTTCATATGGAGATAACTGCATAGTGAAGGCGAAGTAAGGCCCAGAGGTATGCAGTCTCACACAATTAGCTCCTTACGCCTAGGTGTGCATTTTTGCAGTGCCATATGATACCATCCTTCCTACAGTCTCCTATGTATCAGATAGCTGGTTGGCTTGATCTTTGATCAGCTAACCAGTTGCACCTAGTGTGTGGTACTTTGGGACAAGGGAGAAACTATAGACCTATGCAGTAGGTGAGTGTGCACTTTCTAAATACCACTGTAACCTAATTCTGCAGTTTCAGAAATTTCAAAAAAAAAAAAGAGTTTTGCAAGCTATGAAGAAAAGAAATCAGTAGTCTGGTGTGAGCGGATAGTAAGAGCACATGAAGCACTTTTCAGGGCATTTTCCACAAATACAAAGCAACAATGCTTGAACTGAATCATTTCAAAAGTTTGCAAAGTAGGAAATGCAGCTGCCATTTTAAAAGTCAAAGATGTTCAGTTTTAGAATGGGGTGTAGTAAGGTAAAAAGAGAAGAGCTCTTCAAAGCTGTGCTTAGGAGCACTATCATATGTGACTGACAACCATCTTATAAAATTTTAAGCTATTCTGGATAGCAATGTGGAAAAAATGATTAAAATAAACACTGAGATGTCTAAAAATAGAATGTTATAGACACTGTGGGGCTTTTTTTTTGTTTTCAATGTGAAAGCCAACTACATATCAGGAGTATAACTGCTTTCAGTCTACGCCTGAGTCTATATTCTAAATTAAACTCATACAAATATGTTTTTCCTTTTTGTACTTAGACTTGAGGATCAAAATCTGAATATATAATAAGCAGAAACTATGGAAATCTGGCTGAATGGAATTTCCATGTTTGGAAGTACAAGGCTTCTGTGGTTATGTGTCTACCATAAAAAGGGAAAAAGAATCACTTCTCCCACATCCCCCCTCCTCCAAAGAAATTCCTATCTTGAGCGCTAACTTGCAAGGAAAATGGATTTTAGGGGGAGAAAGCTATTGAGGAGTGCATGTTGCATTCAGTGAATAGTTGAAATTGAAAAACTTGAAAAGCAGGGAGAAATATCAAAACATTTTGCTCTGATATTTTCTATTGAAATATTTGACATTTGGTTGTCCAACTGACGTATTTGTGTGTGCATACATACACATGTTTTCTTTAAAAAACTTAAAACAGGGAAGGCTTCAGGTACCTTAGCAACCTTCAGACAGAGAAAGATAGAGAGCGAGTGAGAAAGAAAGAAAGAGAGGGAAAGGGAAAGAAGGGCAAAGAGAGAAAGAAAAAGGGGAAGAGAGAAAGAAAGAGAGAGAAAGGGTGAGAGCAAGAGAGAATAAGAAAGAAAGACGGAGAGAAAGAATAACAAAAAAAGAAAGAAAGCAAGCAAGAAAAAGGAGGAGTGAGAAAATGAAAAAGAGAGAGAGACAGAAAGAGACAGAGAATGAGAGGGAGAGAAAGAGAGAGAAAGAGAGAAAAGAAAGAAAGAAAGAATAAATACTACCTCTGACTCGGGAAGCGTGAGAGCAAGAGAGAATAAGAAAGAAAGACGGAGAGAAAGAATAACAAAAAAAGAAAGAAAGCAAGCAAGAAAAAGGAGGAGTGAGAAAATGAAAAAGAGAGAGAGACAGAAAGAGACAGAGAATGAGAGGGAGAGAAAGAGAGAGAAAGAGAGAAAAGAAAGAAAGAAAGAATAAATACTACCTCTGACTCGGGAAGCTGCAGAGATGCAAATGGTCGGAGGCTTGGAGACAATCAGCAGAAAGCATCACTACACACTTGTTAGAGTCTTTCCCAAGCTTCCCCTGGGGCTGCTCTTTTCTGCCGACGCAGGATCCCTCCAGACCTCAGTGCCGTTCAGAGCCAACGGTGTGCGGATGGCCACCGTGGTAGAGGAGGAGAGCACACAGTGGAAGGCAGGGCTCCTGCAGCCCCGCAGGAGAGGGCTCCCTGCAGAGAGCAGTCTCCTGCAGGTGCTCCATGGAGGGAGCAGAAACCTTGGCCAGGGCAGGTGGGAGAGAGTTCTCACACCAAGCCCTCCAGGAGCTTGAGAGGGATGAACATGATTCTTCCCCTCTTCTCTACAAACGACTGGGTAGGCTGTGGTCACTCCTGGAGACAATATAGCGGGCTATTTGGTCCTGTTTTTTGATTGATTATGTCATGCTACTCTGACAAATAATTTAACAAAACTTTTACTGGTTGGCCTCAAGAAAAATGATTGTTTTTTTCTGAAAAATCCGAAAGTTTGAAAATCTGCCTTCTCATCAGAGGCCCATGTTATTGTTCTTTACTTTCAGAAAATCCACTCTTTCTTTAAAACCAGTTGCAATGGGCATGGAAATGATCTAACATACCTTAGCAGTGTTTTGAGGGGGTTTGAGAGCATTTTGAGAAAAAAATAAAAATAAAAACAAAATATGCCCCTCCATTATTCCTTAAGAACTGTTAAGAAAAGGCTGCAAACAGCTTACCAGAGTCCACACTGGTCAACTCTAGTACAGGAAATTCAGTCTCAGATTAATATATATATATACACACACATATATATAAACACGAGTCAATTGTTTTTAAGTTTTCAGTTCCAAATACTTATTCCATGAACTTTTTGTGGCCTTAGATGCACTTCCTTGGTGTGTTAGCTAGATACAGTTTTTAGTATGGTATCTAGCCCTATGCAAGGCTTCAAAATACTATCAGACAAGTACATGAAACCTTTGTTAGATCCTGAAATAGAAAATATCCTCTAAAGGGTAAACGACCTACTCTTTCATCTGAGGTGCTGCTGTGTAGTTTTAACCATAGTTCTACACAGTAGAACTTTTGGCACTTTTCTCACCAATTTCTCATAAAGACACTATTGAACATTTTTTCAATTGGAAATTGCTCAAAATTATGGTGATTTCTAACAGTTTGTCTGAATTGAGACAGAAAGTTCATTTTGCATAGGCCACAGAACAGATGTTGATAACGTTTAGTTGCCACCAATCTTGTCTGGACTTCAAACAGATGACCTGGAAGTGAAAGGTCTTATATCTCATTAATAATACTACAGGCTGTCAAATCCCCATGACACAATGTGCTTCTTAGCACAGGGCAGTAAGTCAATAAATTCAGCACACTATTGAGAAGTCTGGAGAGAGGGCTTACCGCATTTAGTTCTCACGTTAATGTGGACTAGCTAGCAACGCTACCTTGGATGGAAGATCAGCCCTTTTTTAGCAGGTAGTAATGCTGCTTTCTAGAAGAATTTCTACTTTGAAGTTCAGGTTTGATAAAAGCTAACGCAATGCGGGGCTGCTGCTTCTCACTAAAACTTTACTGACACATATGCATTGTGGGGGGTTTTCTTCCACCTAAAGGCAGCTGTGCAGGAAGAAAGGAAGATTTTGTAGTGAAGGCTAAGGCACATTAAGACTAAGATGTATTAAAGTCAGTTAGCGCCTTACCATGGGCTTACTTGGCTGACTTCCTCAATCTCCTTGTATAATGGAATGAATAATATGTATTTATTCTTGCAAGGCTGTTGTGAGGATATATAATTCACTTATGAGGAAGTCAGATTCTGAGTTGATTGAGCCCATGCAAGTGACCAGACAGAAGTCTGCCAAAGCCTTTTGTCTTCCTTAAATACCGAAAGCCTCACATCCTCCTATCTTTGTTTCCTTTCTTCTCTTCCAGAAACTAATGTTTAGAGACTAGCGAAATATTTTGTCAGGGCTACTTTGCCTGGCTGGGCTTATACGCTAGTGCTACCAGCCATATGACAAAACAGATGATATGTGCTCTAGCTGTAGAACGCGTATCTTTCAAAAATGTCATTAAGACCACATTCTGTTCTCAAATACACACAAACAATTGTTTGTCTCAAATACACACAAACAATTCAAGCCAACAGCAACTTCATGACAAAGAAAAGAGAATGTATTGCTAAAATGTAAAATTCATAAACTTTAAGTGGTTCAATATTTATTTTGCTTTCTAGGATCCGTTTCAGTGTGAAGTTTGTGCTTTGTTTTTTAGTTTGCCAAAAGAATATTAATTATCTGTTAAAACACAACCCCCTTTGGGAATGCTAGTTTATGATACTAGAATACATCCATATATTTTTCATTCTGAAAAAATCATCTACTAAGCAGAACACAAACTGTTAGCAAATTTGCATTCTCAGGCTCTTAAAAGAAAAGGTAAGTATGTAAGAGCCCTACTGCAGCATTAGAAAATCAAAAAGGAAACGCAAAGCAGAAGAGTTAGTAATATTAACTTACTACAGTGGATTTGATTGCATTACCACAGATTCATAATATATTAGAAAAATGCTACAATAGACTGGACTATCTCAATTATTAGTTCTAACAGAGATGTGACTTGCCTCTTGAAGTGAACAGTCTGGGAAGAAAAGGAGCTAAAACTGAAACAGAAAAATGTAAAATGTTTTAATATGTAAATGCTCAGACAAGAACAACAGGTTTGGATAACTCATTATACTATAAGACAGTTAAAACACTGCTTTTTTAAAAAATTTAGAAGCTAACTTAGAATTCATGATTCTAAGAACTCCATAGGAACATGAATTCTGATTTTTGTATTTTATTAAAATGCTACTTAATATAATGAAATCTGACCAACTGCCATTGCAACATATGGAATACTAATATTATATAATAAAAATATTCAGACTATGATTAGCTACAGAAATTCTCCATCCCATATGTAATTTATCAAAGTGAACTTTGATTTGTGCCACATGGCTGATGAAAAACTATACAGAGCCTCTGGAACAAAAGGTACGTACAGACAACTTTGCAAGAACAGTCTCAATCTGTTTCAAACTTTCCTTTTTTAGTTTTAACTTCACAAATCAAAATATTGTAATATTTATACTGTCTTAATTGAAAGCTTTCTAAAAACTAAGGTCTTGTTTCTTTAAAAGGTACCTTAGTTTCATGGAATGTTAAATTGTTCTAGTTAAATGTAGACAACCTTAAATCAATTTAAACCTGGTTTATAATAATTTTGTTTAATTCCAATTCTTTATTGAGACAATCCAAATCATTATAAAGCAGGTTTAAATTGATTTAAGCTTTAAAGTTAAATTGGGGACATATCTGACTATAGAAATTCCTTAGTGTCATTCCACTCTGAAAACTAACCAGATATAAATGATGATGTGATATACCATGACTTGATATATCTCACAGATTTCCAGATCACATACACTGAACGTACATAATCACTCTCCAGGATCAGATGAAGAATGACAGTCTGGATTTACTGGGGCCTGCTCTTTAGAGCCTATGCGTTCTAACTTTCTTAGGCATAAAACCCACCTTGCCCACTGTTTTTCTTGATTTCAGTTACTGGTCTCAAGTTTTAGATTCACCTTGTATATACTCAAAATCGTGTAAAATAGTGATGCTGTTCTATGTAAAATCATGCAGCAAAACAGACATCAGGTATTCAAGGATTTAGTTTTTTTCACTGATTGGTAAAATCACACATATGATACCATGCATGACTATTATCTCTCAAAATCGCTCATGCTATTCTCGCCAAAAGAATAGAATTCTTACTAAAAATGAGCAAGGGTGTAGTGGCAAAAACTACAGTTTATCTGACAGTAAAAATGAAGTGGTGCAAAGTGGGTTCTTTTTGAGAAGTTCACATTTTTGGGTATACATACAGTACCATTAACATAACACCTTGCCGCATGTACAAGTGTCTTGTCCTTCTTAGCGTTGACGGGGAATGCAAAGGCTAATTGCTGACATTCTTATGTCATATTTCCTGTCGATATTTCAAAAGTTAGTTTGTTTCAATTTCTGTAATTTCTGCTTTTGTAATATCTAAAATATTGTCCAATTTCTACAACCTACAAAAGCAAGGGACTAGAAGTACCGTAATATGTCCTGAAGGAGCAGGGGATGTCATATCCATGGTGATCTCTGGTAAGAGGATCATTGCACACAAATACTTAAGGACTCATTGAAACGTCAGTTTTTTTGCAGATGGATGTAGCTATAGGGATTGTATTGCATCTGTGTGTTCGAATGAAATGGCAGTGCTGGGGCATGTATAAGAACTGTATCCTGGACTGTGAGGACTTCCAGAAGGGACAACTTTTTTTTCTGACCACTCTGCAGTTCTAATCAATGCTTAGATGTAATTGCAGACTGTAGCCTTTAAACGATATATTTGTTTAGTTGGAAGCACTGTTCTTAGTTATAAGAAATTAGCTGAAGCTGAGTTTTCCTTTCTAGAGAAGAAAAGGATATAGATCAAAATATCACATTAATGGTCCTGCCTATCTTACTACTTTATTGACTTAAGACAACAGTGTCTCAGTGATGGTTAGCAGTTTATATGTCCACATAGTGAAAAGCCAGAAGATGGACATATTAACTAGGATATATATATACTGCTGGTTATCCCCAAATGAAAGCCCCTTCATTCCCCTCTGTAATTTAGTTTCAATCTACGAGACTAACTTCCATTTAGGCATTTTTTTCTTTTTTTAAAAAACATCCAAGTATGATTTTATCTTTGCTACACATTTCCACTATGGCATCATAAGAAAGTGCAAGAGCAAAGATAGCTATTTTGGAAATTCAATTATGCAGAAAAAATGCTGAGACTTCACAAAATTTCTCCTTAATGGAGTAATTTAATAAAGGTATCCCTAAATAAATTAATCTACAAAAATCCATACTGCATTTCACAGGTCTCATATTTTTATTTCATCTGAATGGAGATTGCATTTTCAACCTTCAACATGCCTGCCTTTCCACACTATTTCCTTAGGAAATATAATATTACTTCCATACAGAACTGTAACAGAGCTCGCTAGAACACAGGGCCAAAACTGAGACCTCACTGCATATCTTTACATGGGAAGAAAGGAACGATGAGATCCTTCATGAACACTTCTACACAGCTTCATTCCATCTTAGTCCCTGCTGAAAATAGGCAACTTTTCCCTCTTGCTGTGACAGACAGGGAGAGCTACTGCGCAGTCCCCTGGACTCCATGAGTGAGGGCAGGGGGTGCAAGAGCGCGGAAGCAGGAGTCTCTCAGCAAGCTCCAGGGCACTTGTGAACAAGTCATGAAAGTGCACAACCACACTCCGACCCACATAATGCCGAGTGCTGGAATTATTCCCCATTGCCATTTCAACCAAAAAAAAGAAACCTTCCACAGCGGGCTTACAGAATTTACAATAAAAACTAACAGGAATTAATAGAGAGCGCTTGAGGTACTGTTATTTCCCTGAAAGACTGTGCAATGGGCACATGCAGGGTAATCAATTCCCCTCGTTCATGGAAGTAAGACATCATATTAAATCTAGAACATAAAGAATCTGTTCTCAGTGTAATTGTACGCTTAGCTGTCAACATTAAGAGATTAGCTGCAAAAGTTAAGAAATAACAAGCTTAAAAGAGCTTTCGGTTCATATCTTATCTGTAAAGAAAAATATAATTACCTGCAAGGTTGTCGATCTCTTTCTCTTGGAGCAGACTAACAGCATCATCATCTCCTTCCAGCATAAGCTCAGTTTCTGCATTCTGGTTTACTACAGCTTGACTTCGGAAGGCTTTCTTTGACTTTACCACATCTTCTTCAGTGCCTAAATAAAAATTACAAATGTTGTGAATTTAGCTGAACAACGTTTTAAACAAAAAAAGTCCCACACTCAAATAGTAAAAAAAAATACAGAACAAATCATCTTTATTGAAAAAGGGAAAGAACATTTTCTAAAATTTTGTCAAGCATTAAAAAATACACAGCCTCCTTCTGCCCCTCAAAATATACCTTGAATAAAAGACAAGCTCTGTTCCACAAAGGCTCTCCTGTTTTTAATAATTCCTACTTGCTGAATGTTCTGCATTGTTCCACTAGCTTTCCACTACCAAGGAATACAGCAGGAGTTTCTCTTGTCTTCCAGGTATTCTGCTTCTGACTGACCTCTCAGGGCTCAAACCATCTACTCTCTGAATAAAGGAGATACTTTCAGGAAATCAAAATATGCCATGATTTTGGTCTTGAAGACAGGGAGGATAGAATAGTAGAATAAGAGATGGGATAGCTCAATATACAGAAACAAGGTAAAATATGCAGGGCTTCAGAACAGAGATAAGAAAAAGGACATGCACAGTGAGTGAACTCTGTTGGGTTTTTCTTTTTTTTTTTTTCCCCCAAAGAACACAATAAAAAAGCTGATGCATGGACATGTGCCAATGATCACAAGGACTTCGCGGGAAGGATTTACCCTTTCTTCTTGCCTACAAGCAGTTTAGTTTATTCAGATAGACAGCTCCTTAAGGCAGAAGATCTTACATTTTGGGAAGGTCCTACCACTATTTTCAAAATGTATCCACTTTATATAAGAAATTAATCAGTGTGTGGTCAAAAATAATAGAATCATTAAAAAAAAAACTTTTAAGAAATACAGAGATACTGTTGAAAGGCAACTGGGAGAATTGTAGGCTGACAACTATAAACAAAACTAATTCTACGTTGGTAGCTTTAACATACAGTTGTGAGATTGGTCCACTGTTTCCTAATCTTAGTTAAAGAAAGGTTACAAGTTTTATTTTCAATACAACACACTTGTAGTAGCTTCTTAGGCTGGAATGCTTTCTGTCTTTTTTCCTAAACAGGAATCTCTGCATCTTCACCTTGGACTATAATATATCCTTATTTATATGGAAAAGAAAAAGTACCACCTGCCTTATAAAAGGCTTTTTTATGTTTAGCATTCATTTTACTTGAATTAGAATCTTTTAAAATGTTCAGGTAAGAATTAACTGCACTCAGGGGGGCAATGTAAATTTTTTTTGTATAAAATCTAGACATTTTCAGTTCTGCTAACTAAGAAATAGAAATCAAATCTAATCCTCCCTGCAGGTAATTTGGAATAATAATTTGGAATCCTGCACAAAATTTGGTGATTTGTTTCCTATTAAGCTACAGAATTACGGATGAAAGCCTAGCAGAACTGAATGAGTAAAGATTTCTACTGTCTTCCACAATGCCTGGACTTTAGGTGATGAATGCTACTATGGCAGACATAAAGTGATGAGGTAAAGCCCATCAAGACTCATGACCTTATATTAATACAGGATAACTAACAGGAATATAATAAGCAGCTAGGTTAGTGAAGATACACGCACGGAATAGAATTCAAGTGTCAGGCAGTTCTGTTATTGCAAATAGAGGGATCCCACCAGAGGCTGAGGCAACCTCACATTTTAAATAGTGTAATTTTTATCTCCTGTATATTTGTCACTATCATCCTTCCTGCTATTTCTGAAACTACAGAGCAGGTAAAGACAAGCAAGCAAGCAAAAGCCTGTTTTTTTCACCAAGCTGGCCCAAAATTAAGGGCAGCATCTCTAGTTTTCTTAGCTGAGGTTCTCTCCATTAAGACCCCATTGATATTGACAGTGATTAAGACAATACTGGTATGTATACTGATATGCCGATATTTTTGACGGATTCAGTTATTAGGCTGTAATCTTTAACTAACTTGCATAGGTTACTATGTAGAACAACTCACCCAATTTAAAATGGAATCAAATGACTGAGGGGTGGAAAAGCTTTCATTATTAAATCTAAGCTATTTTTTTTTAATTCATGAAAAGAACAAGAACTGTAAAAGCAAGAACGAGTACTGTGTTGCAGCTGACCTTTGGTTTTATTGCATCAGGATTGTCTTGAGTATTTAATCGCTAAATCAGAATTTAGTTACAATTTACTACAAGGGAGTTTAGCATCATTTGACACAAGTAATTGCTCGTGTTGTGAAACACTTGATATTGCAGGAGACCAGCTCCAGGATGAACTAACACAGTGGAGGAAGGAAGCATGAAAATATCATTCTCTTGCTTTCTGGTAATTCTAGTGAGTATTCTGAAAGTTTCTCATATTCACAGGGTGTGATATTCTTCAAATGAATTGCCTCACAAGTACTAATTTGGAACAAAAGAGTCAACTGTTTTTTTTAATAACTGATTAGATTAGTTACAGTCCTATTTATGTATGAGGCTATATTTTAAAAATTACAAAAAAAAAACAACCTCTAAGCTCCAAATTATTACTCATACTTAAAATGCATCAGAAGAAGAACCTGAAATTTAGTGTATTTTAACTACCTTATCATGGTGGTTCCAGTTATCAGATTATAGAAATATTTCCATACACCAATGTAAGAAATGTGGCAGAGTAGAAGGCATTATATTAACCTGGCAAATTTGGAGCTTAGCATCTAAGATAAATGTTTCTAAAATCCATTTTGGTTTACAATATTAAACATACATTTGTCTAAAAGAAATATAGTAATGGTGCTTCTTTGTCTTGATAGAAAAGGCTCTGGTTTGGCTGTTGCTTAAATTTATCACTTTGCTGAGTGCCCCTCAGTTTTGCTGTACTGTACCAAACATTTATCTAAATGAAAGTGTACGAGACCCAGAGTTGCCCTTCAATCACTATATCCTTTATGAATTAGAATTCCATTTATCAAAATTACAGCAAGAAGAGTAAGGTCTCGCAGGGCTGTCTCATTACAAGGCTTGTAAACACCGTCCTTACAAAGAAATGGTTTAACACCTAACAAATCAAAAACTGATTGGGAATAGAATTTATTTGAGATCATCTATCTTCAGAAGACGTGCTGTACTGAGTGCACTTCTTGGCCTTTCTACCCATTCATCAAGAAATTAACAAGCGAATACCACAGACCACCAGATCTCCTTGGATCCTGAAACATGAAATATGGTCAGGACAGATCTGTCTCAGATGTTCTATTTTTGTATTTCAAGACGACTTCAAAAAGGTTTTTAGAACAAGAGAACCTCTCAAAGGAAGAGTAAAAAGAAAAACAACTTGTCTCTTTAAAACCAGACAACAAACTGAATAAAAAATTATATGACATAAAACTATGTCTAGCATTGTTAACAATGATATCAAAAAAAGTAATGAATAAATGAATACTTGATATTTCAGCATGTTTGTAAAAATTCAAAACTCTAATTACCTTTTCAAAGCCACAGCAAAATTACTATGAAATGAAATTCATTTCCAGATATTTCATTTAAAACTCCTCTCAGGACACAAAGAGTTTGTTTTTTAAAGGCAAAATACGGCATTACATTAATGTCAGCTCCTAAGTCTAATTAGAGAATGTTTCAAACAGATTAACATAGGAAAAACTAAAACTAAACTAAACAGAATTTAACGAAAGCAGCATTTTAACATTGGGACACTCCGGAACTGACAGAAGCTATCATTTCTCAAAGAATCAAGTGCCTTGTTATGAGCAAGATTTTTTTCTAGGCCAGGATTTGCAAAGAAGCCTTGAAATATGCATCTAAACATGTCACAAAACTACAGTTTGCAAAAAAGTTAAAGGAAATAAGTCACTCAGATCTTTAGCTCTTCTTCAGCTGAAGTTCAGCTTAGCTGGTGCCTTCATTCTTGAAACGTGAAGACTATGTCTTTAAAAATATCTGGAGAGAACGTATGTGTAAGACCAGATAAGCTATTTAAAAGAAAATCCATGTTTTTTTACACCTGTTATCATATCCAGCACGTTTAAAGGTGCATGTTAAAAACTGGCTTCCTATGGTAGCTTCAGGATATCTAAAAAGAGCTCATCTTCACAAGAAATTAAAGAAATCAGCCATCACTCCTGTTCTAAACCCTTGCTTCCATGGCAAGGTGTCTATTCTACATGTCTGAAAAGCTATAAAAGCTACACAGTGAGCCTGTGCAGCCTCACCAAAAATCTACTACTCTCTCTTCCAGTGGCATTTCTTTTCCTTCAAAAAAACCAGGGATTATTAAGCAGACCCTCCTCCCCCTCAACAAAAAAAACCCCTAATAATCATCTCCCATGAACAGGAGGACCTCAAGGTTATTTTCCAGCTACAGCCTCTAGGAGCATTTAACCTAGGCAATATTTAAACAATTTTTTTTTCTTTTTGTTATTGCAACATCTGTATCTTGGCTTCTCAATTTTCAGTTAAACTGGTAAATTCCCTGTTGGATTCTGCAGGTCACAACAGATTCCTGGGAAGCAATCTACATTTCAGGGATACTGTTGAATGTCCAAACCCATAAAACTAGCCTTAAAAAAATGTTTATAATGAGCAGTACAAACATAGCATGTGGCTGATTATATTTATGTTTACATACATTTATTTTAGTGCCGTTACACTAATTACTATAACCTAACTGAATACAGAAATGGAGTTTTCTGTTCTCCTTTTACTGATATCCATTTATTACCTATTCAAATATAACATTTAAAAATTCTCCCTGTATTTAACAGAAAATGAGCTCGTACGGTTAATTTTAAGAAAAGTTTGCTTGGTAATACTGTAACCAACAAAAGGAGACTACTGCTTCTTATAAAGTTGTTTCCATAGTTTACTTCAACGAATTACCGATAAGGCAATTTATGCAGTGAGCTCTCTTTCATCTCTGAAGAGAGATGGCAGAATGGAAAGTTAACCTCATTTTCATGTTACCTAAATATACTGACAGGAAACTCTAATGTTTCCAAACATCTGGAAATCTGCTTCGTGGGATGGTGTTCTTCGTTTCTATAAGAAAGCTTTTTCATAT